ATGACTGCATGAAGCAATTTATTTTTAGTTAAATTACTTTGCTTGCAATATCTGTTAAGGAAAAACTGGATTATACAATGAAAATTTGGAAAATGTTCAGAATTTAAGTTAAATTATTTAAATATTAATATGAGTCGAAAAATAAATTGTATTTATTTTTAGGTGCCAAGCGAATATAATAAATATGACTTATTATTATTTATTTTCTCTATTTTGAACTGAAATTTCATCATTAAATTTTGTAATATAATTTAGTTCTGCATAGTTTTTTCCTCTCATTGTAAACTAGTTCTGTAACCATGGTTGAGTCATTCTCTCTTAATAAATAGAGTACAAAGTCCAAAATCCAGATGTCCATTATCCGGAATGATCTAAAATCCGGACCTCAAAGCCGCAATATTTTTTTTTTTTTTTTTTTTTTTTTTTTCTCCCAATTAATGCTTTACGCATGTGCATTTAATATTTCCTTCCATAATAAAACATAAGGAGATTTTCACTTACAAATTGTGATTCTTAATTTCACTTGGGCACTAAATATATAGTAACTGAATAACAAGAGTGGCAACCTTTTATGCTAACAATACGCTTGGCAATGATTATAGATATTTAAGTGCTCTAAGAAATGTTGATGAGGAAAAATTCAACAAAAATCTCCTTTCACATGCTAAAAATAGATTTTGTTAATGAAACTCGTAGGCCAAAAGATAACATTTAGTGCTATTTTAATTAAGAATAACTGATTTGTTATTCACCATAAACCCAGAAGTGACGGCAGAATATTCAGACCGAAGAGCAGAATTTAGGCAAGACAAAATTTTGGAATTTTGGGGAAAGGCACCGAGCAGCGGAAGAATTAAGGGATGAGAAGTTTTTTATGATTTAGGGAAAGCACTGGGATCCAAAATTTAGTTTACGGTGCGGTGAAAATTTAGAACTTAGGAAAGAGCTTTGTAGCAGAATTTAGGACCGTAGAGACTGCACCAGGCGGTATCGAGCACTGGTACGAGTAAGTTAAGCGTGGGAGTTTATTTATTCAGGACTCTGGATTAGTTTGAAGCATGTGCAAGAAATAAACGTAGGTATAGTAAATAACTAAACTAATACAATTCAGGCTTAATTCAGTACACAATAGGAGCAAGACAAAATTTAGCGAAACAACTTGGCTTTCGTCGCCAATCTTGTGATAAACAGCCAATAATGTATAACGGACGCTATTAAGCTAGGCTAAAATTATCTTTACTGATTCTAAGGCATTTCAATTAATGTAGCAGACTGCGCTGCTCCCTGATCTTCTAATTTGATCCAGCTTATTATTTTTTGCAGACTGTTATTATTATGGCAATTTTATAAAAACTAAGCTTGAACTTTCGATTATGTAGAAAAGAGTTTCTAATTCTGGAGTTGCCAAAGGATCTACAAAGCAAAACCATATTTCGATGTCCATTAAACAAAAAGTGGAATTGCTGCAAAAAAAATGGATAAAGGCATATCTGTCTCAAAATTATGCAAGGAGTATGGCATTGGAAAGTCCACTGTATATGACACAAGAAAAAAGAACTTTTTGAATTTTTTGTGGAAGCATCTTAAACAACTTACATAGAAAGAAATGTTTAATAAAGTAAACAAATAAATATTAAGCTTTTTTTGTGATGATTGATCTTTCAAAATCATACTTGTTCTTTATTTCATATTTTTAATTGTATAATTTCTGCATGCCATCTTACCAGATTTAAATTGATGGATCTATTATACGGAATCGCTGAACTCCCAACCAGTCTGGATTTCGGATTTAGTACTGTACTGAGTGCTTGAAAAGTGCTTATTTTTTTAACTAAAATGTGGCTATGAACCCTGTTAAATATAAATGAATATTAAATAAGAATAGATATATTCACACATTTTTAATATATAATCTAATATAGTCTTTAAAAAATTATACATAATGTATAACATGTAAATCTTTCATTAATAGTCACTTGAGATACTAAATGTTTACTATTGTAATAAAAGAGAAAAATATTTCAATGGCTTGTACAGTTTCCAGACATTAAAAAACTAACCACCAGAAAAATTCAGCATCAGTATTAATTGAAAAAACTGCAATACAGTATCATGCCATTATAACGAAAGAATTACAGAAGTTGATTAACAACAAACCAGGGAATGCTTAACAGTTGCTCTTCCTTCTTTTGCAGTTTTAAGGTGTTGCTTTTAGATGACAGTGCATTTTCATTTTTGCATATTTAACTCTTTGCTGATATATAGTGACTGACTTTTGCATTGCGCCCCCTGATCTATTGGATAAGACTGCTGAATTGTTGACCTGGATAAAAAATCCCAGCAAATGAGCTATCTGCATGAGGTTTTCCTCATACCTAAATCAGAACATCTCAGAATATGATCATGAATGAATCACAGTCCACTGAAAATGCAGATTATGGTATTGCACAATTGCTGTTCATGTTAGCTGAAGTCCAAGGACTGCTTTGAAAATTTCTAATTCATTTGTGGAGGACCAGACGTGCAGGTAAATGACTTCCACTTGCCAATGTTCAATGATAAACAATATGTCCACACTGCTATTAAGGATAATTGAGCTACATCACAAGTTATATCCTAAGATGGTGAATTTAGTGATGTACAAGGAACATATCAGTTAGGTGACATCTTTTCTACAGTGAATCATGCTTATGTTTACAGCATAGTGATGGCTGTACTCATATGTGGAGATACCAAGGGAAACAAATGTTAGAAGCTTCCATTCTTCATCTACTTCGTGGCTGTGCCGTATGTTTGAGGCTGCCATTATTCCACATACAAGCCTCAATACACAAGGTATGCAACTCCAAATTGTCACAAATTGAAAATATCTGGTCAATGGTTGCAGAGAGACTGGCATGACATCTGGTTATTGAACTGAAGCCAGTATACCAAAATGCTATCCATGCTATAACAGCATTGTTGCCAAAGGTAGATCTCAGGGTATGGATTTCTAAATTTTTGTACCTCAAATTTAAATCTTTTCATGTAAGCAATTTTCCTGCAAAAAGTCTTCTAAGCTTCATTCACTTAAGCAGATAGTATTTTGCATGATTAAATAGCACTTTTCTTCAATTAATGTGGCCTGTCTCTTTTTAGGCATGCATATATACGAGGGCTATCCAGAAAGTAGATTACGTTTTGGAATAAAAAAATAAAGAAAGTATAGGAAACAAATTTTATTATATACAGATGAAAGCCACACTCAAATACTACTTTTCTACATAGTCACCATACAAATTAAGGCATTTATCGTAGCGATGTACGAGCTTGGAAATTCCTTCGTCGAAAAATTCGGCCGCCTGCGCCTTCAACCACTTCGTTACCTCTTCTTGCAGCTGTGCGTCGTCATCAAAACGCTGCATAGCCAGCCACTTCTTCATTGCTGGGAATAGGTGGAAGTCGCTCGGTGCCAGGTCGGGACTGTACGGCGGATGAGGAAACAACTCCCACTTAAAAGATTCAAGAACTTTACGAGTGACATTTGCCGTGTGGGGCCGGGCGTTGTCGTGAATCAACAAGATCTTAGAGCTCAACATTCCTCTGCGCTTGTTTTGAATTGCTCTTCTGAGTTTTTGGAGAGTTTGGCAATACCTTTGAGAGTTTATTGTAGTGCCTCTTTCCAGGAAGTCCACCAAAATTACACCTTTTCTGTCCCAAAAAACAGTCGCCATCATCTTCCTTGCCGACATTGTTTGCATGCATTTCTTGGGTTTTTTTGGGGAGAACTTGTGTGCCCCCACTGCATTGATTGCAATTTTCGTTTCACAGTTCACATGTTTCACCCATGTTTCGTCACCAGTAACGATGCGATCGAGTAAAGAGTCACCATCCTTATGGTAAGCGTCCAAAAAGTTCAACGCTGCAGCCATTCGCTGATTTTTGCGGTCCTCTGTCAAGATTTTTGGAATCCATCTTGGCACAAAACTTGTGGTAACCAAGCTTTTCGCTGATGATTTCGTGCAACAAACTTCGCGAAATTTGTGGAAAACTCAAAGAAAGTTCCGTTATTGTGAAATTTCGATTTTCACGGACTTTAGCATCGACTTTTTCGAGAAGTTCGGCGGTCACTATGCTGGGTCTCCCACTTCGATCTTCGTCGTGAACATTGGTTCGGCCATTTTGAAATCTTATGATCCACTGACGCACTCCACCTTCAGTGATAATGTTGTCCCCATACACTTCACGAAGCTGCCGATAGATTTCTATCGGTTTACAGTTTTTTGCAGTCAGAAACCTTATTACTGAGCGCACCTCGCAGCTCGCGGGATTTTCAATTAACGCAGACATTTCAAACCGTCACAGTATCTGAACGGAGCACAGCACGAACCTCTCACTAGCACGGCTAGATGCAGACTGAGTTGCGCAACGCTCTGACCCCAAGATGGCCGCGCTAGCCCCGCCCCTAGCGGACACAGACGGAAACGTAATCTACTTCCTGGATGGCCCTCGTATATAAATGCATTTCTCATAATTTTTCCCTATGGTAATTAATATAAATGATAATTTTTTTTTTATATTTTTGGCATTATTAAAACATTTGTCAGAAATCTCTATTACTTTTCATACTTTTGTTGTTGTATGAATCTGTATTTTATTGTTATCTCATACTTTTAATTGTTGGAATTTGTTTTAAATTTACATTCATTTCATTAACTCACTAAATTCAAAAGAAAAATGATCAGTTGAAATCATAACAGGAAAATTAAATTTAACTCTCTATATATTTTCAAATTTATATTTAAAATGAATGCAGTTTGTAAATATTTACAGAGCTGTCCATCTGTTTTAGTTATGATTATTTCAGTACCATTTCATTTCATTACAATAAATGTACAGTTTGAACAAAAATGTAAATCGTAATCGTAAAGTACATTTTAAATCAAGGAAAATAAGCTGTGAATTGATTATAGATATTATATATAATTTATACTCTTTATTTAAATTGGATACTTTTACAGGTAGAAGTTTACCATTAAGAGATAACCGAACAGTTTCAGAATATGCAGAAGCTTGCTTTAAAGTTGGACAGAAGTGTGAAGTAGATGTAGTTAATCTATATCAAGAAATGATCAAAGATGAGGTAAATTCTCAAGTATAGTATGATTATTAAAAATATATTTGCAGAAATATCTTAATAAAGTATGTAATATAACACTCATGTGTAAAATGAAGAAAATCTGTACATTACGTCAAATTGCTGCAAAACTAGTGGACAGATTTTTTAATGAAATTTGTTAAAAGTATACATTTAAAACACAGAAAGAGATGTATACTGCAGGGGAAAAAATGGGACAGTTTCCTATTCTACTGGGGTAATTGACGAAATTTAAATTGTGTTTTCCGTATCTCGAAAGCATGACTTGGGATATATATTAAATTTATATTAGCTTTGTTCTAATTATTTCTAAGGTATTTTGACAGAAAATCGGACTTTTTCTGAAATGACATGCCAATTTTTTTTCTATATTTGGATTCTATGACGAATTATGCCTAAACATGAAATTTTGTAAAATTGGTGTGAAATTCAAAAATTTATCTTGCCTTTTTTTTTTCAGTTTTTGCCAAGAATAATTTACTCAGCAAACTTCTTAATTTATGGCAACCTATTTTCCTTTTTTTTTTTTTTTTGCCATTGTAGACGAGCAGGAAAAAGTCATCATTCATACCTTCAAATTATTTTAACAAAGAGCGTAAACCATTTGACATTATTATTGCTCAAATATCAAATTTAAAAAATTTTGAATAAAAAACTCATTTTTTTCAGGTGTGCCTAGAAGTATATCTATTTTAAGATGATGTTAAAAATTTTATAGGTTATAAATACAAAACTTTTTTCGAAAAATTTATTTAATATTTAAAAATAAATTATAAAAAGTGGATGAATTATATTTGGATGAAGCCTAAATTTTGAATTATGGAAGAAGGAATCAAGTAAGTTTAATAAAAAAAGGATATAATACAAATAAATTCATAAACTGAGAACTAAAATTGAAGCTATTTTAAAAAGACTGTCAATTTAAAACTTGCAGCAATAACGTGCTGTTGAACAATCAGCCAGGCAGTTCGAACTATTTAAACGGGGGAATATTGCAAAGCGAAACTTAAAGGAATTGACGGAAGGGCACCACCAGGAATGGAGCCTGCGGCTTAATTTGACTCAACACGGGAAAACTTACCCGGCCCGGACACAGGAAGGATTGACAGATTAAGAGCTCTTTCTTGATTCTGTGGGTGGTGGTGCATGGCCGTTCTTAGTTGGTGGAGCGATTTGTCTGGTTAATTCCGATAACGAACGAGACTCTAGCCTACTAAATAGACGCTCCGATCCTTCGAGTCGGACGTTTTCTCGAGGAACAAGCAACTTTAGCCGCACAAAACAATCATTCTCATGCCGTACAATCCCCCTTTTCGAGGTACTTTTAGGGCAATTCGAAAGCTCTATAAAATGTCTAAGTTGCATGAAACAATGAAAATTACTAAGAGTTATCCCTCGCGCGACAGTCATGCAGTGTGACAAGCATTCTGAACAAAAGGACTGCCCATTTCTTAGCAAGGTAGTTTTCGACTCCAGGATGGTTCTTGGAGGGGGAGGATGAGATGAATCCATGCAGCAAATATTCTCATTTTCCAGATAATCTTCGACTAGCTGAGAGCCTTATGTAATCGTCCATTAACAGGAACCGAGGACCAATTGCGCCCCCAAAAATTCAAGGATAGGCAATCATGAAGCCTTTGTCAAACTCATGCAGGGGTATGAGATTTAAATTTTTGTTCAATATAATGCCTGCTCACCTCCACTGTAGACCATGAAACTCGGGTTCCAGTGGCAGCATACAGCTCAATGAGAGCTGTGGATCCTGGTCGACTTTGTCCAGATTTTCTCAATATGAATCCAGTGTCTTGAAACTGGTGCCACAAATTGCAGCAAATAATGACCATAAATCTTGCAAGAAACATAACAAACGTAAGGGAGTTTTGCTGAAATTGCTGAAAACCCCTTCTGCACTTTTATCCTGTCCACAATTATAACTCTGCAAACATGCTTATATACACTACAAAGTCTTTAATCCGGACGTCCATAATCCAGAATGATCTATAATCCAGACCTCAAAGCTACAAACTTTCTGTGCATGTGTAGCGTTTATATGCGTTTAATGTATAATGGATGATATAGGGCTAAAAATATCTATTTCAGTTAACGTTGCAGATTGCGTTGTTTCTTAATCTTCTAATTGGATTCGGCTTATTATTTTTTGCAGACTGTTAGTGCAATTTTATAAAAAGTAAGCTTGAACTTTCGATTATGTCAAAAAGAGTTTCTGATTCTGGATCTGCCAAAGGATCTACAAAGCGAAAGCATGTTTCAATGTCCATCAAACAAAAAGTGGACTTGCTGCAAAAAATGGATAAAGGCATATCCTTTTTTTCTCTAACCATTCCAAAATCTGTTTACCAATTTCATGTTGCTCTGCGGCGCAGGGGGGGGGACGCCGTAACAGATAGGTTAGTGAAAACGAAAAAATTTTGATTGACAAGTTAGTCGGTATTCTCGACACAACAATTACAGGACTTGAAAAACAGAACTTTGTAACTGAACAAGAAATTATGTCGGTTTATAGAATTAAAGAGAAAGTATTATCACATAAAACGAAGCAACTTAAACAACTTACATTGAAAGAAATGTTTAATAAAGTAAACAAAAAAAAAAAAAAAAAAACTTAATATTTTTTTTGGGGGGGGTACATTTTGATACTTTTTAGATCATAATTGCTCTTTATTTTATAAATTAAGGTTTCGTATTTTTAATTTTATAATTTCTGCATGCCATCTTAAAAGATTTAAATTGATGATCTATGATCCAGAAAAAACCCTAATCCGGAATCGCCGAAGTCCAGACGAATCCAGATTAAAGACTTTGTACTGTATTTGATTCTGGATCTGCACAATTATTTGGTAAACTATTGGTTCAATACTTTTCGAAAATTAATGAGGACTTAATTTGATCATTGTTCTTTTAGATGGGGAATCTAAAAGCCCAGAAATATTAGTCAGACATAAGATTAATACCTGAAATGCATACTGATCTTTTAAAAAAAATATTAGTTGAACATTTGATTAATAAATTCATCTGTCTAGTGATTTTAGCCAGTATATATATTTCAAATTGTAAAAGAAACATACTAATGTAAAATTCTAAATTAGCTCCCCCTCCCCTTCCAAAGAAAAGCAATCATCATATGGTGTAGATTTTGAATAAAACTACAAATTTCAAGGGAAATCAGATGCAAGTCCCTAGAAAGGGGAAGGTTTTACATTCACATGTCCCTTTTCCAGTTTGATTTTTTTGCAACTAGCTGCTGTTTTTTTTTTTTTTTTTTTTTTTTTTTTTTTTTTTTTTTCCCCGGGGGGGGGAGGTAGTTTCATTCTTTTGCTTTCTTTACATTGATGTTAATTTTTATTATTATTGGAATTTGATGAATATTTCACTCCAGTTTTAATTCTCATTGAAAGTTCAATCCTTGTGTAACATTTTCACAATTTGAAAATCTTTGTTACTTTGCTTTTATTATGTTTAATTTAAACACTTTTCTTATTACAGTTAATGAAGTTCATATTTTAACCATTTTCTAACCTAGTTCATGCATCCTTTTTTTTTTTTTTTTTTTTTATTTTGTTTAGCATAGGTCGAAGTATAAAAGGATTTGTAACTAACCTAAAAACAAAAGTAATTTTCAAATTACCCCCCCCCTTTTTTTTTTTTTTTTTTTTTTTCTGAAATGCTGATGTCAGAATATCATTCCCAAACTGATATAACTTATATAAATCTTAAATTTTCTATTTTGTTTCCAAATTCTTTATAAGAAACACAAGTAAATGTTTGTCTAAAACTAAGTTATGAAGTGGACCATCTTCATTTGAAATCTGCCAATTCAACTTCTAATTTTTCATGTATTGATTATAAATCTTGGTTTGGAATTGAAACTACTTGTCAATATATAAAAAAAAAGTTTCTGCTTCTAAATTCCAAAGCCTCACATTCCAGTCAGCTAATCCCATCTATTCTAGTCGGCCTATTATTAATACTAATCCCCTAGTTAATATCTGAGCATCAGGTGAAAGTATTAAAATTTAACTCTTTTCTCAAACTGGTAAATCTTCAGCACCCCATATACTGCTTCTGTTCAAAATGCTTTGAAATTCAGTAAAATTTTGATGGAGTCATGAAATGTTAACTGAATACTACTCAATCAATGAAGCTCCTTCACTTGTCTTACGAAAGTTGAAACAGCTATCAAACCTTTTAATATCCATTTCAGTTTAGAAAATCATTCATTCCACCTATTGTTATAGTCTGTTTCCCTAAGTTTCTTTAAAACTAGCACTTTTTAATTTTTTTTTAATTTATGTGAAAAGATATAATTTTGTTATCAAAGATCTGATTAAATCATGATATTAATTTTACAATTTTTATAAAATTATTTATAACATGCATAAGCTTTATGGTTACTTCCTTGTTAAAGACCACTGCAAACACTTTGGCTATATTTAAAATTAATTTTTGGGAAAACAAAGACAAAAATGTTACAGCAACCTCAAAGAATTTAAAACTGCCATGTATTAGAGGGGCTGACATCTGTTTATCTTTAAAGTAGCCATAATTTGATAACTGCTGCTATTATAACCCGAAATATTGGTACTTTTTAATTTCCACTTATATTTAACTATCTATTTTACCTTCTGATTTAGTTCTTCCATCCAAAAATAATGAAGCAAGGAAAGCAGTAAAAGGAATCCTGGAACCATAAAAACAACTTATTTGCATAAGATTCCCTCGCCCCCTTGCATATTTTCAGTTGCATTTCCAAATCCTCCAATCAAACTTGTGGCTATATTTGTGCTTTCACTCCATATGCAAAAGTATGTGCTCTTGAAAACAAATCACTGCTTCTTTTTCAGCTGATGATCAGTTAAATATGATTAATATTTTAGAGAAAAGTACCGAAGAATATGACAGAATGAACAATATTGCAAATTTCTAATTGCTTATGGAACACTTAATGGAAAGCTGAAAACGGCCAGCAATATAGAGAGAAATAATGAAAGAATATCATGCAGTCTACAGTATAAAAAATCAAATATGTTGCACATTGTAAAACATCGCACTTTTCTCCCCAACTGCTTATGAATTTAAAAATGGTAAATATTTTAGAGAAAGAAAAATAGTGAATCAATTATATTATATGAACTTCATAATCAAAAAAGTTTTTAAAATAAGCATGTTGAAAATCTGCCAATTAACTTGCCTAATTCTGGCAAATAATCTTCAGAATTTGGTGGCTCTTTTAACAAGGAAGTACCATGCTTACCTTATTGTGTAAGCGCATAAGTGGATGATAGTGGGTTTTTTTCACCCCCTTCCAGAATTGGCCTCGATACCTCATTGATGGACTTCATTTTTCTCATGCTGGTTCAGTTCTAGTTTACGCTCTATTATGGCCACATATTGCTAAAAGAGTGCAAGTAAATAAGATGATACTGCCATCATGGAATGAAATAGACCTTCTCCATCCAGAAAAAGATCTTAAAAAGCATTAAATATTTATCACTTTTTTATGAAAAACTGAGCTAAAATTTTTATCATGTTGAAAATGTATATGTGTTTGATTGTGATTAAAAACAAAGTGACTAAATATTTGTTTATTTAAAACTCATTTAAGCTGTACATATGTAAAATAGAAATTAACAGTTGAAAATAAAACAGTACACATATTGACTAGCCTATATTTCACGGGATTGCATTTTAAGCAATATACAAAAACATAGCATATTAATTGTTGAATGCCTATTTTATATAGTTTTTCTGTAAAGTCTTCAAACAAAAGTGTAGCATAAAAACAATATGCAATTTTTTATAGACTTTAGTTTCAGTTCATGTTTGTATGAATAAAGAGATAAAATTAAACACCACAAATATTAAATGCAAAAATAAACTTACAAAAGAGATTGACTAATGTACAGTACGGTTTGTAACACAAAATTGATTTTAAATTTTAGCTTTTAGCAAAAAAAAAAAAAAAAAAAAAAAAAAAGCTTTTAATAATACTTGTTTACTATATAAATCTTCAGATGCCCCCCTAAAAAAAATTCCAAAAAGTAAATTTGATAAATTAACTGAATATAGTAAATACAAAATCCACAGTAAGTTGTATCAAAATTAACAGTAAATTTAACTGACATGTATAGAATGAAAGAAAAAATTTAATAAGAAATCTTCATAGCTTAAATATTTATTTTGAGGTGATAACTATATACACTGATACAATAGTAAGCAATTTAAAGGTTTAAATGTGAAGAAATTTATTAAAAGGCTACCTAGAAGATTTCTGAATAAATTAATGTTTCTGATCAATTCTATAATGTTCCATACAATTATTATATGATGAATAAGTCATAAAAAGGTAAAATAGTTTCCATAATCAATTAGAAAGTACATATACTTAATTCTACATTGAAGTCACAGAATTCTTAAATCCTTGCAGGCAATTCTAATAAATTACAAAGTAAAAAAGAAATATTTAATATCCTTCATGAAATGATTGAAAAAGACATTACGATAAAAAAATATTAATTTGTAGGTCAAATGTATAAATCAATTTTAATTTGTATTCCTGCATAATTAATTTAAAGCCTAAAAGTAACATTGTATACAATTACCATATGTGGATTCTAAATACACCAAACCATTTCTCCTCCCTTCTTAGTAAAATATTTACTAAGAAGATATACTTAATATCTAAGAAGATATACTTAAATACAGACAACCTACATTAGATAAAAGTATGACTCGCATTACAACCTGTAGAAAATTAAACATATTTTTTAACACTATGAAATCTTTACATAAAAATGTTAAATAATCATATGTAACTAAAAAGAAAAATGTAGGCCTCAGAACATTTCATACATAAAATCATCATCTACAACTTCTTAAGATCATCAGATATTTAAATTCATTGCAGATACCTTTCGTAACACATATAAGCAAGTAATGTATGCAAGCAACTCTCTTCAGTATATGTAGATCACAAATAATTTAATATCTTGAAAATAATGATGAGTATTAGATAAATAAAAGACTAGGATCCAATTTAGGGTCTTTTTGCTGTCGATATCTGTATGCAATCCATATGCTTATCACCTGGAAAGGAATATTTACTTTCAAAATATATTTTATATAAGCATTATTCCAATTAAATGTTGGTCTCGCGCATAGAGAAAATAAAAAAATTAATTCATAATATTTATTGATATTTCATAAATATAATAATTTAAATGACTGAATTTTCAGATTTTAAAAACAGAATTTTTCAGGGACATGAATCATAAATTGGTAACATAAATAAACAGTAAATGGTTTTGTATTATGCTGAAAGATGTATTACCTAATAATAATTTTAAAAAATGGCCATTAAATGTGCTTTTGAATAATGGTAATTACTTCATAGGAATGGAATTTCTATGGAAGCATAGAAAGTCTGGAATATCCAGTATAAAACTGTCTGTCAAAAAAGCATTTTCTTTTTGAAACCGTAGGCAAAGACTAATTTATAGACATTTCACCAGATTCAATTCAAAATATACACATTCATCATGTACTCTTTCATATAAAATAAAGGAACATGCACATTCCCATGCTTACAAAATTACAGGAATATTAAATTGTGAACTTAAAATACAAATTAACAGCAAAAAAGAAAAGTCAATATAAAATTCATCTAGTTATCAATAAACACTGAAAAAGAATCTCCAGAGTCCACATAGACTTTATTACATATTTTCCGGAAACAAGAATTCTAAGCTCTGCTTCCACATGCATTTAAGCATTATTAATAAATGCATGATTTGCTTTCTCTCACAAAATTAATATTTTCTGCAAGCAAAGTTATGAGATACCATAACTAACTGCCAAGCTTGAAATAAGAAAAAATTGAGTTTTTGGATATTTTCAGCACCATTTTAAAAGAACACGAAATTAATTTGAATTTGCTTTATAATGCATGACTCAGTTTATTCAACTATTCAGAATATGAATTCTGACATAAGATATATTTATTACATATTCTAACTTAATGTTTTTTGGCTAATTTCATTTTGTTATTTTCTTACACTTTTATACTGAGAAAATTCCAAGTTGGAAAGGAAAGTTTCAGCTTAATTATTTTTAAACATGGCAAAAATAATGTCCATAATATTGTGCAGATAAACTTAGTACTGTACCATGCCTTCCTGATATAAATGGAAGCATATCCTGCTAGCAATTCCGGAGTTTGCATCCCAGCAAGAGCAATGAAATTTTTTTACATCTAATCAGTGGAGTAGCGAGCATAACTGGCACCCCCCTCAAAAAAAAAAAAAAAAAAAAAAACAGTGATATAATGAAAATCTTGTTTGGAGACCATTTGGCACCACTCGCATCATACACTCCTTGCCCCCCTCGCTACGCCACTGCATCTCATGCCTCTAAAAAAATAAAAAATCGCTCTACAGTGGCACAAACTAAAATGTGATGGGCAATAATTTATCATGACCAAGATCTGGTGATTAGCATACCTGCCAACCTCTAAAGATAAAAATTCAGAAGATTTCTCCCCCAAATTCAGAAGTTTTCTCCAAAATTCAGAAGAACACGAAGAATTAATATACTTTGATATTAAAAAAATAACAATTTATACAAATAGAAAAAAGAAAATTGTACTTACATTAGTAAATCTCAATTAAGTAGTAACTAAAAAATTTATTAGGAATCATAAAACAAGAACTTAATGTTACACAAAAAAATTATTGCTATGAATTTCAAGTGCATTTTTTGGCTTTAGCCAAAACTTCTTTGGAAAATTTCCTGTCATAACAATAGTTTCCTCGTAACATTTAGCAATTAAAATGTTTTCTAGAGTTTTTGGTGAAATTGTAGAACAAAACATAGTTTTGTCTTTCTTCACAACACTGAAGACTCTCTCGCACTCAGCATTACCGTGTGGAATTATGAGAATAGCACATAAAACTCTTGCTTGTCTATCATATTTTGGTGTTCCATCAGCTCTTTTTATTCTTTTTAAGGTACCAACGAGGACATCAAGTCTATCTTCTCCAGAACTGGCAAAGTCTTCAAACTGTGCAGCAGAAAATTGGTTCTGTAGTTCATCTAAAGCATCATTGTGGCATTTATTTTCTTTAATTGTTAACAAAAATGGAAATTTATCAATAAAAAAGGAATCTTTTCAAAAGATGAATTTTCAATTTGTTTCAAATTTGCCACTTCAGCATTTAAAAGAACTTCATTTTTCAAAGGAAACTTCCTTACAATGTAATCACAGGCTGAGGAAAAGTACTTTCTAACACATTGAAAAAATTCTTTTTTCTCATGATCTTTCAAAGAATTTACAACTTCCCTGGTTTGATTTCCAATTATAAGATCATCCTTTTGATTTGCCAAACTATTATAGGCAACACGAATCAACACACTGTTTTTCACAATGGAGGGCTTTACAAACTTAGTTATAAAGTTCTTTCAAAAGATCATTAAGAATTTGGATACAGCAGGGGAGATTTTGGCGAAGGCTGATTGTAGAAGGGTATTTAACACTTTCAAAAATCTTAATGGTACTTAACACAAAACTACAATATGCTTTGTTCAAATCCGAAGAAAGAACATAGAAAATCCTTTCCTCCCGGCTAACAGAAGACTGTTTCTTCTTCCCTTCAACTTCTTTAAACAAAGTTGACCTTTGAGGAGTCTTCTAAGCATTTCTTTTTAAAGGGTTTGATTCTGTGTGTTGGCTTTTCCCTTTTAAAGCATTTTGATTAGAAGAAAAGTTGGTTTTCGGAATCTTATATGCCGACAAATTTGATGGGATCTGTGGTTTCGTTTTGGTCTCTTCGTGGAAATATTTTAGCAATGCATCCCACTGTTCAATAAACCTTCCTAGCGCTCTGCCTAAGGATAACCATCTCGTGCATACATGTTTCAGAATTTTTCTCGTTTCACCACAGCACAGTTCTTGGAAATTTTTTAGGTTTTCTTCCTTTTTACACTTTTTTCCAGATAGAAAAACACATCAATCAGAAGCTGGTCAATGTTTAATGGTAAAGCAGCTGCAGCTTTTTCTGCTGCCAAATTAATTAAGTGGCATGGGCATCCAATAACAATTAATTCATTTTGCTCTTTTTTGAGGAAAGAGGCTACACCCTTTTTGTCACCCACCATGGCATGAGCATTATCTGCACCAAATGAAATGCAGTTTTATATTGGGATATTAAGTTGTTTCAACTCATTAATTACCAAGGAGGCAATATTTTCCCCCGTAGCATCTCCATTTAACAATGGTAGACGCAAAAGATGAGTTTTCATTTCATTAGAAACATCACAGAAATATGTGACAACGATGGGGTAAAGCTTCCAATCGCTGTCGTTGCTGCCATCGATTGACACCAAAAATGCTGAATTCTGGAGTGCAGCTATCGTTTTACTTTGTGCATCGCAAGCAATTTCGTTCACAATAGAAGATGTTTTCGTGCGAGCACAAGCATATTTCTGAGCAATCTTGGAGTCGGGAAAGATCCGTCTGAAAAGTTGACCGGCGTGATCGGCAGCGCTTAGCGGCACGTTGTGTTTGATGAGGAATGCAGTAAACAAACACTCTGCCAAAATGACATCGGCATCCGAATTCGTAGCCGAATTTGAAAAAAAAAAATCATCCAACTTTCTTTGACATTGTCGATGCTTAGTTAGACGTTGTCGAAGCATTAACTTCAAGCTTTTTAGACTTAACATTCTTCACAATGTCGCTTCTTCCACCGTGACTTATTATGAAGTCACACACGCACACGTTGCAAAATGCATAGTTATTTCCTTTGAAGGATTCTTTAATTGTTGGAAATTCGGCTTTGTTGCCAGGCAGAAGATATTGAGAATACAGTTTTTTTAACTCATTTCGTAACAACGACGTATTAAGAAAATTCGTTGCACGTGCAAACAAACAAACAAAACAAAACAAAAAAACAGAATGCGACAATCCACGCTTGCTGAGTAATTCCCTTGCTGCTAAAGCGAACGCGAAAAAAATAATTTCGTAAAAATTACTGACGATTTACTGGGAATTCTCAATGGGACAATTAATCTTTTGATGAATTTTTTCTCTTCTTTCCAAAATCTTCGAGTGAAAACCAGTTCATTACTGATCTTTTACCTCTAAATAACACAAAATGACTGCAGAATCATACATGTCTTAGTACTTCAAATCGGATGCCTTTTAAAATTTGTTTTCAATGAGACAAAATGACTTCCTTTTATTAATATAAACAACTTTATATTTCAAAAGTTATTCATGGCACATCATAATTTCTATCATAAACAATAAAAAATAGCAATAATTAAACTGCATATATATAAAAATATCTATATGACATTTGCTTTGTGGCTTCAGGACGCGACCACTGAGCCACTAGAGCAGAGGGTCGCCAAACTTTTTTGATCATCGCCCCCTATATAATTTTTCAAAATCTCCATAGACCCCCCACAAAGGTAATTTTCAGGTAATTAAAATAAAACTATATATTAGTCTAAATATTTAATAAATCAGAAACAGTAAGTAAAGTAGCTACAGATTTTTACTTCTTAATGAGATGAGTTGTGCCTGGTGTTTCTTGGCAAGGTTCGCTATATTGCGTTCGAAATTAGTCAATTTTAACCGTACAATTAGTCAATTTTCCGAAGCTCCACATTTAATGTACTTCTGTTTTTAGTTAAAATTGAATTAACGTGACTGAAACCGTCTTCAACCATATACGAACTTGAAAACGCCAGCATAAATGGCTGAGCCATTTCGTAAAGTTTCACATATTTTTGCTTTATATTTACATTAGTCCAAAATTTATGTATTGCCAAATTTTTAATAAGCGTTTTTGCTTCAAGATCGGACAATAGTTCAGCAAGCTCATCTTGTATGTTGATCTTGACGTTATCAATTGAGGTTCTTTTTAGATACTGAAGCTGTCATTTTTAAATTAGTGTTCTGTAAATAAGTTAAAATTAAGTTGGTATATTTTACTAATCCACATTATTAAAGCTTACCTTTTCACAAGAAACAATAATTAAAATTGATATCAAAACTAAACGAATAGTTTTATAGAAACAATAAC